GGTTCCCCCGGGGACTCCAACCCAGAACCCTCTGGTCCTGGTTCCCCTAAGACTCCTACGTAGAACCTTCTTTCTGTGAGTCAACAGTGCTAACCGCCCTTAAACCAAATCCCAGTTATCCAAAGACCAAAACCTTTTGCTCAGTTGTTGCATTTTACCGAGTTAGAGCTCGTTATTTTTTGTTAACGCTCGGCCTGGTTCTGCGGCGGGTTCCGGTTCTCTTACTTGGGGAAGTGCGTGAGGATGAGCGTGCGCTTCTCGGGGGGCAGCTTGTCCTTCTCCTGCCGGGCCTGCTCCAGCAGCTGCTTCCTCATCACGGTGAACACGGCGCGCAGAAGCGTGCGGCCGAAGATCTGCGTGGTCTCGTGGCGCGGCAGGCTGTCGCAGAACTGCGGCGCGTTGCAGTAGCACAGCCACCTGCCACAGAGCACACCTTTCAATCCAGACTGTTTAATGTGTCGTTCCAAGATGGTGGAACGACCCACCAAGCTACAAGAACAGCAGGATCCCTGTCTGTGTTCAGAAACTCTTGAAGACCTCTTCAAAGAGCATCTCCTATCCCAGTGTTTTTTAACCTTTTTTGAGCCAAGGTACAGTTTTTCATTGAAAAAATCTCGAGGCTGCCCGTATCAAATTCAAGTCTCTGATGCTTGCCTACAAAGTGCTTAAGGGTCCGGCTCCCATCTACTTGAATCCCCTTGCAAAGGCTTATGTCACAACTGGATCACTCCGGTCATCAGTGGATTGTGGTCTAGCAGAGCCTTCACCAGCTTAAGACCATCCAGACTGTTTAATGTGTCATTCCAAAATGGTGGAACCACCTACCAAGCTACAAGAACAGCAGAGTCCCTGTCTGTCTTCAGAAACTCTTGAAGACCCCCCTCTTCAAAGAGCATCTCCTATCCTAACCCTAACCCGTACCTCTACCCCCCACAGCTCCTATCCTAACCCTAACCCGTACCTCTACCCCCCACAGCTCCTTCTGTAGTCCCTCTACCTCTATCTTTTGCTGTCACCACTGACTCTGATCAGTGTTTCTCCTCTGTATAGCTCATTGTCATAGTGATGATAAATGTAATATTGCGTCTACTCTGTAAGTCGCTTTGGATAAAAGCGTCTGCCAAATGCATAAACATTCAATTCAATTTTATTTATATAGCGCCACATCACAACAACAGTTGTCTCACAGCGCTTTCCAAACAGAGCAGGTCAGACCCTACTCTGAAGTTAATTACAGAAACCCAACAATTCCCACCATGAGCAAGCACTAGGCGAAACAGGCAAGGAAAAACTTCCTTTTAACAGGCAGAAACCTGGAGCAGAACCATGGCTCAGGGTGGCCGGCCATCTGCCTCGGGGCAGGAGGCCACAGCTCCTTCTGTAGTCCCTCTACCTCTATCTCTATCTCATCACTGACTCTGATCAGTGTTTCTCCTCTGTATAGATTATTGTCATAGTGATGATAAATGTAATATTGTGTCTACTCAAGTCGATTTGGATAAAAGCGTCTGCCAAATGCATAAACATAAACATACCTGGTGTAGTTGGCCTTGTATCCGGCCGCGTCGTCGTTGGGGACCCGCTGGCGTCTCTGGGAGGGCGTCTCCAGCTGCCAGTAGTTGATCTGGTTCAGGAACATCTTGGCCAGCTCCATTATGGTCTGGCGCTCCTTCGACGGGAGGTGGCTGAACTTGTACTGGACAAAGTTGTTGACGCCCTGAAA